GAGATGAAAAGCTAAGTGCAGTCTTCTTTTCTATAGTGCTCAGATTTTTTTTCCTTATATATCACTGGGTTTAGTTTTCCTTTTGTTAATTTTATCCTGATAATCTAACTGACTTGTAGGGAAAATGGGATCAATCCTTACTTTCTGTATTATCCTCCTTGCTCCCTCTCATCCTAGTCCATCCTCTTCCTTTGCCATTGGCAGCTGCACAAGTTTCATTTGGCATACAGAGTCATTGAAGATTGTCTGTTTCCCTCACTGTGGAATATTTTTCAGTCTGGATGTATTCATGCTACCTTCCTGCTTGATGATCATGACCTCTTTATTCGCTTGTATCCACCTCTCTCCTATTATCCAAAGGCCCATGACTAAGTAGCTTTCTCTCCTCCCGGTCTTTATATTGTGCAAATCTCATGCTGGATGCCAGATTCCCTTGTATAAAATTTTAGTTCCCTATCTAGGCACAGCAAAGCTCTGCTTTCTTTAGCTTCAGTTTATTTTAGTGCTCTTTTTTGTCTCCATTCTCTTGCAAAAAATAAGGTTTAAGCCATTGCTATATGGGGGGGGGGGGGGGAGATTTTCTCATGCTAAGCATTTTAGCTGTCAGATACCTCATCAGGATTCACTGTCTGCTTCTAGTACTGCAGTAGAAGCTAGTGACAAACCAGCCACATATATCCTTGTGTTTAGCAGTTCTTTACATTAACTAGAGAATGACACTGTGCAGAGTAACAAAGATGTGACATTTTGAAAGTGTACACAAAATGAGGTTTTATACATGTCTTGTATCTTTTAATTTCCTCCTTCTTGTTTTACCTCACTGCCTGGCTATTTCAGGCTATGAGCCTGAGGTCAGGTTTACTTCGTTTTCCTTGCTTGCACAGTAGCTTCATATTATCGTATAGTTTAAGTAAAGATGTGTGTGTTACACAATGGCTCCCAAATATTGCACCTGAGGCAAGTTTGATATCAAAGTTTTTGTAAGACTTTTCTTGACTGTCTAAACTGTTCTGGCTGACTGCTTTGAACATCTAGATTTATTGTTGTTCAATCCCTTCTTCCTAACTTCTTGTTATGATTTGTAAGAGATTACAGCCAAGAGGTGGTTTTTTTTTTTTTTGGTTGGTTGTTTTTAATAAATAGAATTTAAGGTCTTAGCTAATTGTTTTGAACTACACATTTGCATTTTGGAGATTTAGAAGTTTCCTTTAATATCTGAGATACTGTGTACAAGTTGAAGGTCTGCTAATAAACATGAAGTCTGAAAGGAAAATCTTTGTGGTAAGGGGTGAGTTCTGGAAAGGACTTGAGTTTATACTGTGGTTTGAAAAAAGAAAACCAAAACCAAAACCACCCCAACCCACACTCCTACTTTATGGTTCTGTTACCTTTTTTTTTTTTGCTTAAATGGAGATCTCCAGTCAACATAGAGACCTGCTTATTTGCTTTTTGTAATTTTTAGTCCCTTGAGTTTCTGAGAATTTAATTTTAAAAACCCAACCAAAACCCTCCTTCCAACCTGAATGCTATGTAGAGTTTTAAAAGTATGAAGGTGCCATTTGTTTTCTGAGAGAGAATAACTGTATCTATCGTGTGCACTTGTATAGAAATGGATGTAGATTGGTTCAGTTTGTGATGCATAATCAGCAAATTGATTCTGTCTGATTTTAACCTTTAGAAAAACAAAGTGACCTTGGGGGGAAGAAAGCTGTTTGATTAGATTATCTGGGGATGTGATGCAGGGAATTCATGAATGATAGAGGGAACTTTAAAATGAAAGGTGGGGGAAGGAAAGAAAAGCGAGGAATGAAGCCTGTTAAACTGCTGAGCTCTCTTTTTCTCTAGTGCATTCAGCTCAATGGATTAATGAGATTAAGTCACATCGACCCTTATTGCTGGATGGGCTGAACAAAGGGAGTATCAGTAGTAGCTTGCATAGCTAAGTTAAGCACTTGCAGGCTACCTACAGTGGTGTGCTATTTCCTGACTTCATAGCTGCCACAGATTTGATCATTTTTCTAACATGTGTAAACCTAGCTTACAGTTAAAAAGGTATCGTGAAAAAAAATCTCTTTTCTAATATGAAAAAGCACCTCTAATGACTGACAAAAACATACAAAATTCAGCATGTACTCTACTTTTGGCATTTACCTATTTGTCAGAACCTTCTAGAAATTTTGTCTTTGTGTAAACAGGAGATCAAATACACTAAGGGACAGTTTTTACTTTTCAAAATTTCTCAAGTTTCTCCTTAATGTCTCATTATGAACTTGAATGCATCTGCCAGTTCCCCCAAACCATTTCAGCAGTTTGCAAGACTGCTCCTGCTAACCATGACCAAGTCCAATGTCTTATTCTGTGCCTTCTGCATTTCTTCTGATACTCTTCTTTTTTCCTTGTTTTTTTTTTCTTCTGTGTTATTTTTATTTTTCAGCTTAATTCTTTGCCATACAAATTATTCCTCCAGCTAATTTTTGGTGTCTCCCATTAATTCTGTTGTATTGTATTTCAAGGATTAATCTCTTCTGGTCTGTAACCATGGCATTCTCATAAATTGTGTACTTTTCCCCCTCCCTTTGTAGGGCTTCTGAGTCCTCCTTGCTCTAGTCCTTTCATGCCAAAGGATTCTAAATCAGTAACTTATTCCTAATTAATTCTTAAGTGGCTTATTCTATTTTGATCTGAGCAAATGCGGTCCTATGAATCAGGCCTGAGAGAGTTCCTTGATTAAAGGGGAAGGGCCAGTTACTTGGTTTGTTGGAGTCTTGCTGTTTAAGCCATAAAAAACACAGCAAAATACTATGGGTATGGTTTTTGTGTGTGTGTTTTCTTACAAACATGAAAGTCCTGTCAGTTTGAATTAGGCTAATGGCTTGGACTAAAAGAATTGCAGGTAGATTTACAGAACCGCAATCACTGTTTTCTTTCTCTGCTTAATATAAAGTTGCTTGGTAGTTGAACACTCCTGTGTGATATACACAGCATCTGAAGGTATGTGTATTAACGTAGAGATCTCTAATATTAGCCTCTGAGGAGAGTGTCATAAATACCAAGTGGTAAGAGATGCTGAGAGCAAATACATTCTTATCTGAAACAGCGATCAAGTGTGCAGTTCCCCAAAATGTATGTTTGTTCTGTGCCAATAACGTTTTTACACAAAATGGAAAAGCCTCCCCAGGAGCTGTTTTGGGAGTTGGGAGACCAGGACTCAAAATCTTGCTTGAGTTAAGGATGTTGGTATGATGAGATCCAAATTTGATTAAAAAACACGTTTCCTTTTTTCTGGAGATTAGTTCTGTTCCTACCTGCTTCCTTGATTTCTCTAGTTGGCAACTTAGATGTAAGATCAGGAGTAATTAATCTTGAGTTTTCCAGGCAGTTTTTAAGGAATACAGTGTAATATGTCTCGTTTCTGTAGATGCTTTAATTTTCTGAGGAAATGAGGGTGTATGGCTGGTTGTGGTAGTTCTTTCTGTGGAATGAAAATGTTGATCCCTACTACTTGTGTATCAGAGAGCTAATGTAACCTCTTTGACTGAGAAAGACTGCCCTCTTTTGGGTATAATTAGAACTGGCTTAGATGTCAAGACGGCAGTACAAGGTTGCTCTGCTTTGTAGAAGCTGTTGAATTTTTATGCATAGCTGCGGTAGGGCACCATATTGTGATCAAATTCTATGTCGCTGTGGGTTTTCTGTGACAGCAACAAACGACGTTTTCAGTAGGGTTTGAAATTAGTTTCATTAAAGTTTTAAATATATGCAGATTGTACTGTAGTGATCTACATGGTGTACGTGTATATATAATGTCTGTACTTTAAAAAAGGTATTATGGAAATGTGGGCATTCCTTATTTATGATAATTTTCCATTCCTGTGTAATATGTCTGTCCATGACTAGCTTTTTTCCTTGTTATTATTCTATCAGTTCAGAGTTTTTTCTTGTAAAATATAGACTGGTTTTTTTTGCTACCACCTTCTTTTCTGTTTTTAAAGCCCTCTTTTTATTGTTATTTAACTCTTGCTATAGCCAACAGAGTACAAATAGCTTTGCTGTTCAGCGTCATAAATTCACAAAGGTAATTGCAGTTTCAGTTTTTGACAAACCAAATGCCTAGGGCTTAAAAAAAGGTCCATGAAAGAAGCAGTGAAGCTTCAGTCCTGTGTTCAGTTCTCACAAATATATACTGTAATCTGTAATCATCAGAATGACATTTGAAGACCTACATTAAATGGATTGATTGCAATTCACTCCTGAAGGAGCAGGTGTTCAAATCACATAAGAAAGGTCAAGAATTTGGCCTGGAATCACTAGCTTCCAGTTCAGAGCCTGGCAGTGAAATACTTGTGGTTCTGCAGGGTCACAAATATATCAGTTCAATTAAAGTAGACAGACCTTCTCTGTGCTTAACCAGGCTAGTGGAAAAAAAACCCTGTGTTTTATACTTTAAGGTAGCACTGTACTAACTCATGCTAGTATTTAGAGCCTGGGTAACTAGAATGTTTGAATTTTCAGTAAATTTAAATATGCTTGTTTATAATGCAGTAATGTTTTAAAAACTTGGTCATGGAGCAAGATCATGCTGTGCTAAGAGCTTGCACAGCATGTCTTTACTCCAAGGAACATTTGGTCTAGGCATAAGATGGGATAAATTGATGGATATAGGCAGCATATTGACACAATGCTACAGCACTGGTCAGCAGGACAGACAACAGAATTCCTGATCTCTTTCACATCTGGATAGATTGTCATATACATTTGGACATAATATTTTGAGTTAAAAATGCCCATGTACTATGTGTACGATGGCATATGATGTTAGTGGAATACTTGAGTTGTACTGATGGTGCAAACTACACACAGAAAATGTAGTTACCACCTTGCAAAATTATGTGTACTTTATTGCCTTGTTAGATAAAGCTGCCCCTTGGCAGCCTTTCCCATCTTCTTTGTTTTATTAATGAGTAGTTTTGCCTTGCATTTTGAAGCAGGCCATTCCTCTTCTGGCAGACTTTGCTTTCTGGGGATGCTAATGCTGCTCATGTATGAGATAAGTGATGACTCTCAACGTGGGAAAGATGTGTAAGTAATTTATGAATTAAAGCCTTTTATAGGCTATTGAACAAACATATTCAACTGTAGTAGAATGAGATTATCAAGTTACATATGTTTAGAAGAAATTGCTTTCTTTGTAACTTGCATTTATGGAGATAGTCAAGCCCGGTGTCTCTTTCACCACAAAGTAATGACAAAAAGGAAATTCTGTTGGGCTGTTTATGATTTTCTCTTTGGTTTAACCCTTTTAGCATTTAGAGCTTCTATTTCATTTTGGTAGTGGACATGCTAATGAAGTGGAAAAAATTTTTATGTGCTTCAGCATAGCAAGTCTGAGTTACAGGACACATCCCTGGGATATTTGAGTTACTCTTCTGATTCTGAGGACAAGATTAAAGACTGTGTGTGAAATATAGCTCCTTTTGATGTTACTGGACAAACACATATTGACTTCAGTAGGTCCAAGTCTGTCTACATACTTGCTTTAGAACTTCATTTATGATAATTAAATTTGGTTATTTTCAAAGAAAATACATAAACCTCACCTAACTAGTAAAGCATTTTGTGTTTGACTTTATTTGCAAAATTAATCAGAATGGTTAAAGCAAAAGCAAGACTGGAGGCAGTATAGCCAAAATCTAACTCAGTTGGGGATACCTCTGCCTTTAATTTTGAAGAGATTCTCAGAAAATAAAAGCTTGGAAATGTTGCTGCCTAAATTAGGCAGGTTTCTTGGGGAGTTTTTCAAAGACACATAACCTGTGCCAAAAATCTATTTTCTGAATAGCTTCTAGTAAATAGGTAGATTGGAGTTTTCTTGTACACAACATGTATGTAATCCAAGAATTGCTGTACAACAGTTTCATTTTCTCTGTTGTTTTGTTTGTTTGTTTATTTTGTTTTGTTTTTTTGGTGTTTTTTTTGTTTGTTTGTGTTTTTTTTTTCTCACTTGCATTAGTAACAAGATGAGGCTGAGTAAGAAAACAACTGTATAACTTTATTGGAAACTTGCTAATGTTTGATTTTTCTGCCCTTTAATGCAATTACTATGTTAAGTGTTGGCTGGCAGAACAACTGGAAGGAATCTGGGTATTATATTTTTAATGATTTTTCTCCTATCCTTCCTCTAGGGTAAAATTGCATTTAGAGTGTATTTTGTGCAGTTCCCACTTTTAGTCTCAAAAAGAAGTTTGTACACCAGTCTGATACATAAATTTTGAGTTTATTTTGATGCCATACAACCACAAGGGTGTTGCTTCTTAACATTTGGAGGCATTTCCCTTGACTTCCAGTGAAGCTGTCAGTCCTGCATAGTCAACTCTGTGAGATCTGAATGCTGCAGTGCTGCTCATTTAGGATGTCAGTGTGAAAGCTAAGAAAGTTATAGACTGAGGTCTTTATTGCTGGTACCCATTTCTCAACAGGAACTGGACTTGATCACGGTGTCTGTTGGAAGATTAGTATTTTGATTCATGTTTTCTTGCTTAGCTTCATCAAGATGCTGTTGTGTCAAGTGGATTTTAATGGGAACAAGTCTTAGCTGTGTTTGCTTTTTAGCTTCATAATTTTTTTCTGCCCACTGTTTTCACCACTGACGTTTCTTCACTTTCCTTTTGTGCTATTGAATTCTTTCACTTCTGTTGAGCTCTCTTCCACCTCAGAACTCCAGATCTCTTTCTTGTTCACACCGTTTGTTTCCACATTGCCTTTTCCTTTTGATACACTAAATTATTTTATCCTTTGTAAAGTCAAGACAGGTGCCTGTCTGCTGCGGAGCTCCTTTCCTTTATCTTATTGAACTGAGTTGCTGATTCCTACTGTATGCTGTGTTATTCGACCTTTTTACTATTTATCTGTCTGAAGAACATTCCTATTAGTGTTTGAGATCATCTTTCATTACTTTGATGTTTGTTGTAGGACCACTATCAAGCTGATGTCTTCATCAGCTCTCCAAGAAGTCCAGATTAGCCCTGTCCTTTCTCCTATATTTTGTTGTGGCTACTGTGATTACCAGATGTTGCCTTAGCTAAGTTATCACATTCTCTGTTAAAATATCTGAAGGCCTCCAAAATGTTTGGAAGAGTAGTTAAAAGTAGTTGTAGTTGTAATAGCAAACTTCTAGCAGGATAGTGTTGATTTGCTTGTCTCTGAGGTGTAAGAAAGGTAGAAAAAGTAAGAGTGGAGATGATGCAGTATGTGGGAAAAGCACGGTGCTGGATTGCTTAATTTACCAGTGCACTTAAGGTACACTGCACAAGGGATGATGAGTTCTCCTGCAAGACCATCCTTGTATTAAGAGCTACTGTTTCCAGAAAAAGACTTTCAAATGGGAATATTCCAAAGTTTAACCAGTTATGTATCTTTTGTGTTCTTGAGGCTGTTGAGTTCTGGGCATTTCAGCCCTTACATGAAATCAAAGCATTCTTGTCCATATGTCATGAAAGAAACTTAGGGGCCTGATCTTTTTTCTTTTATCTTGGCCAGTGCTAAGCCTTCACAAGTTAGGGACATAGCGAAACAGCCCTGAGCGTGTCCTGAGATGTCCTTAAGGCTCCTTCCTATTTGGCTGGAGCAGACTCGCTCTTTGCTCTTTCCGTTCTGCTGCTCAGAGAGATCTGCAGTGCCAACACAGCACAAGCTCTCCTTAGCTCTTACTGAGCAAAAACCCCAAAATACGTCAAGTGTCCAGTATAAGGCAGAGGAACAGGCAAATTCCCCGTAGCTGTCAGTAAAGGTTTAAGAAGGCGGCGACACACTTTCCTTCCCGATGTCTTTCCACCACCAACTGCCCCCCCCTTCTTCCCCTATCCCATTAGCCCACATTCTCTTCCTGCCCAGCCCTCCAGTGCTGCCTAATCTCATTTACAGGGGCTGCTGCCAGATCTGCTGGCAGCTGCAGTTTCTTGGCCGCTGTTTTCGGTGAGCAAGCCGAGAGCGCCGAGCTCGGCAGCAGGAGGAGGAGGGCTGCTGCTGTGTGGCAGAGCGGCAGCAACAGCAGCGGCAGCAGCACCTTTGACGTGCCCGTCCCCCACGTGACGGCCACTCCATTGCGGGGAGGGAGCTGAGCTGAGCTGCCGCTGCTCCGGCAGAGCAAGGGGGAGCCGCAGCCTCGGCGGCGGCACCGACAGCGGCGCCTCCGCCCGCAGTGCGTGTGTGCGTGTGTGTGATGAGCGATCGCCGCGTCCCTCCGCCCGCTGCCGGCTGACACGGACCGCGCGGGGCGCCAGGAGCAGCAGAAGGAGGCACGGAGCCGCGGCCACTGCGCAGTGACCTTGGCCCAGGAGGTAAACGAGCCGCCCCTCCGCGCCCCGTGCAGCCCGCGGGGGGAGGCCGGGGCGCCGCCGACGGCACTCCCCGGGGGCGCTGCCGCTGTCCGCGGTGCTGAAGCCGCGGGCGTCGCTCCGGGCTCCCGGCGGGTTCTGCCGGTCATTTGGTGCCGAAAGGCACCCACGGACGGGCACTGCAGGGGCAGGGCAGAGAGAGCCGGAGCTGTGGACTAGGTGCAGTGGAGCCCGCATGGGAGAGGTCTGGGGGCAGGGGAGGGCTTTGGAGCTAAGTGTTTGGAGTAGAGCTCATCCCTCCTTGCTCTCCGGTGTGGTCTGTAGATGGAGCGCATTCTTACACCTGCGTGCAAAGCCGGAGCTACGGCATGATCTGAGCTCTTGCTTGGTGCTGCTCCCGTGTGACCGGGGGGAGGGCGGGGAGAAGACGGGGCTGGCGGCGGAGCCGGCGTTTTGCAGTGAAGTACGATGAAACTAGGTGAAAGCAACCGGAAAGATTTTCTGGCTTGTTTCTTCCTTGATCCTCATCACCTGCTTCCCTCCCCCGGTATATGTGTGACAGCAGGCACGTGCTGGAGGATAAAAAAGAAGTTTAAAGCATCTGGTTTGCTTTTTGTGCATTTGACGGCTGTGAAAGTTGCTATGGCCCGAGCCCTGAGGAGAGAGCACTGCCGGATGCGCAGTGGTGGGCTGAGCCAGCCCTTCCAAAACTGTTGTGTTCTGGAGGGTGCAGGGTGTCCTTTGAAGAAGCCTGGTCAGGGGAGGGAGGAGTACTTTGTGAGGAGGTGTCTTCGCGATGGGGTTGTTCATGGTATGTTAGGGAGCCATTCAGAGTGACAATTCATTAGTGTCTAAATTAGGTTAACATACTGCATTCATTATTTACAGGCAAAAGAGTTGTGACAGTAAATGGTGAATTAGCAGCTTTGCTCCAATGTAAATATCTGTTGAAGTAAGAGCATACGCCTGTTCTGATAGTATATTGGTAGAAAGTCAGGTCCATTAATCATCAGGGAAGGAAGGAGATGTGATGTTTCACTGAAACCACTTTTACCTTTTACAGTGTGACATTCAAAAGAGGATCAAACTTGTGGGACATGGCACAAGGAAATAATTATGGGCAAAGCAGCAATGGGGTGGCTGATGAATCCCCAAACATGTTGGTGTACAGAAAGGTAAGCCTTTGTGTTATAAAAGCTGAGAAAGGGCCTTCAGGAAACGGTGAAATTGTGGGCTCTTTTGCCTAGCAAGTGAGGTCATTATTTTTGTTGTTTCTCTTCAGTTTAATGAATAGATACTGACTGCTGCTGTGCTCTGTTGAATGGAGCAGCCTGATTTCAGAAAGTGATCACCTGCCACTAATCAGGAGTATTTTGTGTCTATTAACATTTGTTTTGCTTTAACACAGTTTAGATGCCATGTGCAAAGTAGATCTGTATCCCAGGTACTACTAGATGACTCTTGTTTTGAGAAATGGCTGGATCAGTTGTTTTTAAATGGTAAAATACATGTGTGTCAGAAGCAGTTGGTTTTCAACCAACTATATGTGATGTATTTCATTCATTTTCTGCATTGATACGCATGGTGTGTTATGGTAGTGATCTGCCAGAGACTGGAACATGTTCTGTATTCAATTGTTCACTTGTTAAATGTGTCTGTAAAATGAATTCCTATATTCTAAAGCTAAATATTAACTGTATAATACAATATTTCATATTTCTGTGTCTAGGCCAAGATTTTCAGAGTGCAGGGAAATTGGAACCATTAACTTATTTCATATGAGGGGAAAATCTGATTAAAGATATTAATTATCTGCAGTTGCTACAACTTAAAAAAAAACACATGCACTCCACGGAGTCTCCCTGGGAAGGATGTCTAACATAGTTGTTCTAATAGCATCGATATACAAATTTCCAGACATTGAACTCCAGTAGTGGGGCTTATTTGGCCACTGTGCTTTCATTTAAGTGACAGTAAATGCTTGGGAATTTTGAGATATGTCTATACTTTCATATTTTTATAAAGCTTTAATTGTGCTCATAAAAAAAGAATAAAATAATAATGGAGAAAACCCAGATTTGCTGTCTCAAACTGAAATACATAATTAAGCAACTACTTGTTTATTTGTAGAACACTGTGCTTTCTAACCTATTCGTGGTTGGTTTTAATCATGTGGGAAAAATCAATATTTTTACTTTGTTAGAAGCATTGACTTTTCCTTTAGCAAGTTAACTGTAGTAGAAAGTATTTGGTATATACTGAGTTTAGTCTTTGAGGTGAACTGAGGTATCATCGGTAATGGCGGTAAGTGTTCTTTTCCCAGAAATTAAAAAATAGTCTTAAATTGAAGTCTGATGCATTCTTTATCTTCCTATTTTCAAGTAAGTTGCTGGTTTGTTAGTTGGTTGTATTTGCTGTTTTGAAAGATTAGGCTCTTTTTACATATGTGAATGTATTTATGAACTAGTTACCTATCTATGTAAGAATGCACTTCTATAAAAATACAGGATTACCTTGCCATTAACACCACAGGTTTGTTTCAAAATGCAACTGTGTGCAGGAATTTATATGTGAAAACATGCTGCATGTATTAAAAGCAATATACCAAAGCTCTTATTGTTCTTTACAGGTTTTTGATCTTTCTAAACAGAGTATTTGCGCATTTGTTGTGTACTTCCACTCAGATCAGCTTATTTAGTACACAGAGGGGGAACACAGAAACTGTTTCTCTTCTGCCATGGTGGCTTTGCTTGGTCAGGCTTGTGACCTGTTGTACTTAGAGTGACCTTATGCTGAAAATTAACATTGTCCCTGAGCAGCTTCCAGATTGGAATGAAACTGTCAAGGCAAGGGATGAGAATCCTGGTTGTACAGGCAAATGTTGAAAATGGGGAGCTGAGTAGGGCACAAAACCTCAGGTATATGCTCAGCAATTCATAGCAGTTGTCTGTGAGAAAGGGATGGTATCAGTCTGTGTCTTCCAGTGTAGCAGTAGTCCTTCCCTTGTTGCTTCTAAAGTGCAAGCAGTACACTGAATATTAAACTTCCAAAGAACGCTGACCTTTTACAGCATTACCTGCAATATTTAATTTTGTACCTGTCAATTTATTTTTGTAGCATGGGGAATCAAAATATCATTTAAGATTGTGCACACTGATGTTACAGCAGACTTAGTAGTCCTTCATTTGGCAGTTTTCAAGGAATAGGCAACAAAATAATAGATAACTGTTAAAGAAGTTGTAAAATCACCTGCCTTTTGTGTGGTATGATATTGCTGTAATCAAATGTGTTATAATTTTTGTGTCTGGAATGCAGGAGGAGGATAGTTAGGTGGAAATAATTGCAGAATATATCATCTCTGAATATAATTCCTTAATAGCAACAACTAAATCAGGATTCCTTGTAATACATTTGAAAACACAATGCTCCTCTGTCTGTCACTGTGCTGGAAATGAAAGCACTGTGCTGAGTGAACAAAGAGCTAGAGTTGCCAGCTTCATGAAGGACTTTTTTTATTTTTTTTTATTTTTTTTTTTAACTGGAAAAGTATTAATAGTTGTTAGAAAAAACACAAATGTGCTATTGGCTGGCTTCAGAAGGAAACTGAATTTGAAGTCCTGTATTTTGAGTAATGCTGTGGAAATCCAGAGGTGCAGAAGTGCTTTCTTCCAGTAGTTTATACAACATCAACACTTGGAATAGCACACATTTTGATATGTGTACCTGCAAGGAATATACGGAACAGTTCTTACTACTTGTGTTAATGAAGAACTAAAACTTGGCCATGTTGAGTGAAGATGATTACTTTGGCTATAAAGCACAATTTTTTAATCTGGCAATTCTGCTAGTCTGTCCAACTTTCAGATAGAATCTGAACTAAGCATGTTCTACATGTTCTAAACTACATGGAGTTGCAGCTCTGGCTTTCCTAAACCCTGATTCTGTCAGGAGCATTTTCGAACAAATTTTGCGTGGAATAAAGTTCTGGTATTTACAGATGCAGTAATGAATCACTATTATACGTTAATTGCAAACACTTCAAAAAAGGGGGCTTTTCTGTTTACTAAAATGTATTTGATTTGTGGTTAGTTACTTATTTGAAGGGTTAAGGAGAGATGGATTTTCGAATTGTTATCTAGAGTAATACAGACTGCAGATAGCTGCTTTTTCTCATAGTAGGTTGTATTCATAGTCAAATAAGAGTTTCATTGCATTTTGCTTTCAGATATGATTTTTGGGGTTTTGTTTCTTGTGTTTTTTTTTTTTTAATCGGCATAGGATAATTAAATATTCAAAGAATACCTACCTTAGAATTACTTATTTGAAGCTGTGATGTAAAGACACCAGCATAGATAAATAGATCCTTATATCATTTTTACACTGCCTTTTAAGATGCTTGTGTCAGTGTTTTTATGCCTTGGGGGATAGTTTTTATTTTAGTAGAATGTCAGATGCATTATTCTTTTTGGCTATCAGCCTAATTATAAAGCAATGACATGTGACACATCATTGGTACTGACATACCTTAGAAAAAGTCCTGAATTTTTCTGCTAGTAGCCTGAAGCAAACATGAAAAATGTAAACCCCCTGCTTTTACTTCCTCTCTAAGAGTCCATTCCAGTCAGCAATTAAAAGAGATAAGGCACTGGAATCTGTAGTGTTTTAACATCACAAGTTCTTCACAGAAATCTCAGATTTCAACAACACTAACATGTACTGCTGTAAGCCAGGTCTTAAAGTATAAACTTGAGATGTAATCTAAGGCCCATGTTGTGCAGCTTTTTAGAGCCTCACCTTCTTTTGCCTTTTTTTTTTTTTCTTTTAATCAAATGCATGGCTCAGGTAATTAAAAGAATAAGACTTGTCTTCTGAGGAATGTCCATTTTAGACCTACAGCTGGTCCCACTAAACCTTTGTTTGTCTTTCTGGTCTGTGCTTTGCTTAGTTTTTTAGTCAAACATGTTGCAAGGATTAGGAGTTCTAATTTGTAAGTTTAACGGTTACTGTATTGCTGTCTGAGCTAGCTTCATTTAAGAGATGATAGCTTTATTTTGTAGCAATAAAATTAGCCTTGTCTAAATAGTAAAATTCTGTGGCTGAGACTTTAATTCTCTACCTTCCTCACTGCCCTGAGTGTTAAAGTAGCTTTTGCCAAAGCTGATCGGAATTACTAACATTTGGGCTTTCAGTGCTGTAATGAAGATAATAAGGTGTTTGCTCTGTTCTTGTGACAATTGTTGAAGGTTATATATGCCAGTACTCATGTATAGCAAGGGCTGAATTTGTAATCTCAAGCTTCTTAGTTTCCTGTGATCTGATATTCTTCATAGAAGCTATGCCTCCAAAGCATGATCCTTGCAAATGTTGTCGTAAAGGAACAATAGCCATGCAGTGACAGCATTTGAGGAAATAGTGACCACCATCTTCTAACGACCTTCTCTCCTCTGCTTGTACCAGAGACTACTTCCAGTGTAGTGTGTAGGTAATACTGTGTTCTCATGTGGCTTATTAACTGCTCCCTTAAAAACGATTGCGTGAAGAAAGTGGTATTGCAGATAACTATTCCTTAGAGCCTGTGAGACTAGAAAGGGCATGATAGGTAGGATTTTTCTAAGTTCTGTCACTCACTTTGATAAGGGATGAATTAGTCTGACACTATGCATTTCTGAATATGCCATCACATCCTATGGAGGCATCTTGCTTCCAGTGGAAAATACTGGGTTTGTTACTAAATTGTAAATGCCAGGGTAGTCTGAGGTACTAGAGATAAGTGTTTTTTGTTTTTAATTAAATTACTGTATACCTTCTACATTATGCAGTTTCTTCTTCTCAGAATAAGGGTGGGACTGGTCTGAGTTTTGGATGCTAGTCTTGATTTTATTCCAATGCTCACCATTATAAAGTTGACAGAAAAAAGGTCTATTCCACCTTAGGAATTCCAGATGTAGGAAGAGCAAAATTTACCTCCCTATCCAGTACAATGAATGGCTGAGGGGATTGTGGTTGTTTTACCTGGAGAAAATGAGGCTGAGGAGAGACCTTATTGCTCTCTACAACTACTTGAAGGAGGTTGTAGAGAGTTGGGTGTCAGTCTCTTCTTCCAAGTAACAAGTGGTAGGACAAGAGGAAATGGCCTCAGGTTGTGCCAGGGGAGGTTTAGTTTTGATGTTAGGAA